CATTAAGAAAAGAAAAAGAAAAATGGAAAAAAATGTTTAAAAATTTAAAATTAGAAAATGATAAAGATAAAGAAAAATCAAAGAATTAGAAAAAACACTTGCAACAAAAAAAACAGAAATTAAAACATTAGAGAAAGATAAAGAAAGATATATACTAGAAGCAAAAACTTGGAAAGAATTATATGAAAAAGCTAAAGAAGAAAAAGAATGGTATGAAGCTTTATATAATGCTTGTGTTACTAATCATGGAGATTACAATCATATTAAAAAAGAATTAGAAAAAATTACTAAAGAGCGTGATGATTATAAAAGAGATTTAAAGAAAAGTTAAGAAGAAAAAAGAAAAATTAATATTGAAATTCAAAAAAAATGTTTAAACAATTATTACTTTAGTAAAAAAATTTTCTCCTTATTTAATGAGACAAATAATTAAACAATTGAAAAATTAGCAGAATCTGGTAACCAAAATATGTATGAAATGATTATTAGAAATGTAAATGAATTAGACGTAGCAGCATAATTTTCTTTTTTTTATTTTTATTTTTTTATTTTTTTTATTTTTATTTTTATTTATTTTTATTTATTATTATTTTTTTTTTTTATAAATAAAAAAATATATAAATACTGTTTCTTTTTTTTTAAAAAAAATAAATGTTGAATTTTCTTTTGTATATCACCTATTAGAATTTTAATATTTGCTGCTTTTTAATAATAATCTCACTCTGCACATTTCTTTATAAATCTAAAAAATTAATCGAAATACTTTTGACTAAAACAACTTTTGGCATTTGTGACAACAAATATCAAACTTATAATTTTGAAGCTTGTACGCTTATTAGACAATTAAAACTGGCGGCGGCAAAAAAAAAACAAACTAAAAAAACAAAACCAAAAACAACAATTAAAACAACCAAAAAAACAACAACAAAACTAACAAAAAAATAACCAATAAAAAAAAATTACAAGTTAGTTTCAGTTCTTGTAATTCTTGTTGAAAAAATATATTGTGATTTAAATGTAAATAAAATGTTAAAAAGAAAAAGAGATAACAATAAGAGTGGTACAAAAAAAAAGACATGTGCTATTGATTCTTGTGTTGTTGGTGATGAAAAAGCTTATAATGCATATAGAAGTAAAAGACCTGATGGATCAAAAGTTAATAAAATAAACTTTGGGGCAACTTTTAAAAATGATTGATTATATTATAATGATACATTATATAAATGTATAAATATATAGAGATTATTTCAAGAAGAAAAAAACAAGCTTAGATTTAGTAAATTAGTCTTATCAGATATTGCGATTTATTTGGTTTTAATATCAGTTCATACAGGACAAATCAGAAATTTAATTGGAATTGCACCATGAGCTATAGACCCACCTAATAGAAATGAGGATGGTAAAGAATTAGATGCTACAGGTTCAATAGTTGAATATTATAAAGTTCCTGTTGCTGGTAGTAAAACTTTACTAACTTCTTTAATTCAAAAAATAAGATTACATTTTTTTCTAGTTAGAATTTGTGATAAAGATTTGGCAAGAAAAACACAGAATGATATAACTCCTGAAGAAATTCTTGTAGATCCAGAAAAATTAGATGACCCAGAATTGAAAGATTATTTTCAAATTTTAGCTAAATATTATAGAGAAATTAATTGTGATCAAACAGGATGTTTACTAAAAGACTGGAATTTTTATATGTATTATCAATTTAGCAAAGATAAACAAAAAGTTTGTATACTTCCAGAAGAAGATGATACAGACAGTATCATTTTTGACACAGCAAATTTTGCATTAATCTTAGTGGTTGATTACATGCCTAGATTTTTTAAAATGAGAAGACTTCATAACAAAATACTGCTACCAGATGCTCAAAATCCAAATCAACAAGATCCTTGATATTTAACAAATAATAATACATATTTTTTAGATCAAAATTTTTCAATTCAAGCTAAACAAACAGGTCTACCAGTATATTTTAGCGATGGAGTAATTGAAATCGCATATAAGTATGATGCCAATATTGAAAATACACATGAAATAGCAAATATAATTGCACAACAATTAATACAAGTGCAACAAGGAGAAAATGAAGATAGACAACCAATAGAAGAAGTTGAACAAGAAGAAATTTAATTTTTTTAAAAAAAATATATAAATATAGGAATTTTCTTTTTTTTATTTTTAATTTTTAATTTTATTTAAAATATCTTGTAAATGCAAATATAATAATAAATTTAAATATTATTGTTATCATTATTCTAAATCTATTAATAAAAACAAAATGATATTGATGAAACAAATATTATTTATGCTATGGTCATTAAACAAGCATTAGTTTAATATTATTCAAATCAACAAACAAATCAAGACCAAAATCAAGGGCAAACTGATAAACCAAATCAAACCCCACCAAAACAGGATAAAGATGTAGAAATAGATGATCCCTCCAAGCAAAACAACCTGAACAAACTCTTTCAACTATAATTAATAATTTATTTGATCAATTAAAAAAAAAATTGAAAAAACCCAAAGACCTGATACAATAAAATTGATTGATAATGAAAATTTAGATCAAAAAATAAATAATTTAAAATTATCACAAAATTTAATTAATGATTTACAAAAATTAAGAATATCAAGATTAGATAAATTACATCTTGAACAATATGGTTATTATACCGATTTAAAAGACAAAACAGAAGAAATTTCAATTTTGAATAATTTATTCGATACTATCAACAATGATAAGATTTTAATGACCATGCAAATATCAACTTTATTAAAAAGTATAAATGATAAAATTTTCAAAATTAATCAAAAAAAAGAATATGATTTAATCAAAAAATAGAATAATTAAAGAAAAAGACTCAACACAATTAGAAAATATTTGGAAAGATACTATTGATGATGCTAAATACCTTGATGATAAACAAAAAGATGAATTACACAAACTTAGTATATCCAAAAATGGGAAATTCAAGGTTTAAAAAAATTTGAACAATATAAAATAGAAATTGAAAATGAAGGATTTATTTCAAATTTACTTGATAAAAAATTATTTGATATTTTAATAACAAATGATTCTTTATTAACAAAACAACAAAAAAATTAACTTCATATATTAAGAAAACAAAGAATTCAAATCTTAACAGATAAAGTATTTGATGAGCTTAAAAATAATATAAAAATGAAAAATTTCAAGTAAACTAGAAGATAAAGGATACTATGATAATAGAATTAGTGAGATTCGTGAAAAATTTTTAACAAATAATCGAAAATTAAAAGATCTACATATTCTTAGAAGATAGAAATTAGATACAATACAAAGTAAAACTGAAGATGAAATATATGATATCACTTCTAATTTAATTAATAATTTTCAAGATTTAAATAAACTTAATGATAATTCAGAACTTGCTGAAGATATTTTAAAATTCAATCAAACATTACTTACTGGAGATAGAAAAATCAATAATTTAACAACTAAAAGAAAACAAAATTATAATAATAAATTATATGATAATTTTGTTTTATCAATAAATATTGAGACAAATGTTGAAGGATTACAAAATAAATAGAAAATAAAAATTGATACTGAAATTGAAAAAGAATATCTTTTACAATCTAGAACAATAGAAAATTTATATGAAATACGAGAAGAAAGGATAGCATCATTAAGACAGCCACCTTTACCTAAACGACCAGCAAAAGATGAAGATATAAATTCATTACTTGTAGGGTGCAGAAAAAAAAGCCCGATCG